ATAAAAATAAAAATAAAAGCAAGAATAGAACGCAAATGTTAAAGCGTGTGAAGTATGAAACATTATCGGCGTTACGCATTTCAGTAATAAATAAGCGAATGAGTTTTTATAGATCATGCAGATTTAAATAAAAAATCCTCAATTCAATTCGGCAAGTCAGGAGATGTGCCGCCCCGCCCTGCCCTGCCTGTCGGTATTATGAGGTTAGGTTATCAACGAGGCGTGAATCGTCAGGCTCAATGAAGCTCTCGCAAACCATACAGTAATTCTCAGAAATTTATATATTTCTTGACTTCCTGCTTTCGCTACATCACGCCAAATCCGAGTTGAATGCAAGGGCCTTGAACTGAATCTAGGTAAGTCATGAATAACAATGATTAGCAATTCCTATTACTGAATGTAGGCATAGGCACCAATAGTGAACTATCAGCCACTGATCTGTAACCTCTCCATAGAATCATAGCATTACATTTATTTCTGTATTTTGATAAACTATTCTAACATTCTTTGTTGAATAGTAGATTCGTATGTGCTCATCATTTTCTCTATCTTCTCCTTGGTCACTCCTCCGAGTCTGCACCCCAAACATGAACCGTGATCGATTATTGGTTACAGTCTCCCTTATCGTGTTTTCAGCACACGGTTAACATTCTAACTGCATTCCATTCCTAGCTGCTCATCAGCTCATGTCATTGTCCTCCTCAGGGATAATATCAGTTATCTGTCAGATCATATGAGATCGCCATTTCCTACCGTTTGCCGAAACCCATATGGACTGTGACTAAAATTCACAGGTGAGAACTACTTAGGACTGAAAAAGAAACCTCAAATACAGGCCCTTCTAGATTTTTTTGCTGTGTGATGGAAACTAAAGCCCACCTCAGACAGTCTAGCTTTCCTCCACTTATACCGAGTGAAAAGTTGGATCGTTTGATACGGACATGAGAACATAGAGCTCGCTCATCGTATGTTGAAACAAATGTTTCTCTCCGATTAGCTCTGAATTCGCACCACTCAACAGGTAAATTCATGTAGTCAGGTGGCACCACTGGTGAATGGTGACTTAAACAATACTTTTGACGTTTGTCTCAACGTATGATGCGTGAGCTCTGACATTTGTTTGAGAAGTTGAACGGAAACCTTGGTGTGACCTGACTTTCAAATTTTTGTTCAACCTCTCAAATGATCGTTGTGTTCTCGTGTTGTATTACACGATCCAACTTTTCATTTGACATGAGTGAAGGAAAAGTGACGTCTGAATTGAGCCTTAGCTATTACTTGGTATTTTTATCCAGAAATGTAAGTAGTGTGAGAGATATATCTGAAGTTACAGATGAGGCCTTAAACTTTTAACTCTAGAGGGCTAAAACATCACATCCTTATCAACGATGTTTCAGTGAATTATCAGATGTCCAATAATTTACTTCCTATTTTTATGGCTACCAATGCAATAATTGCTTTTACACACAATTTTACCAATGCTTTTTCACAAGTATTTTGTCCTATTACTAAAAATTATTTGGCTATCCTCAGAACTATTTTAACTTCTCAAGAAATGTTGGTTGGCTTCACCTTGAGATTGTTTTAATTTAGTGCTGATCATTGGTTGTACTCATGGTTTTGATGCGCTGTACATTATTCATTTTTCAGAGCTTTCATAAGAACACACCGAGACATTTACCTGCCTTGTTCAGCTGCAGCAATCGCCATTTGTTTCCTATCATCTGGCAGTTCCTTTGATCTTATCGAACAGCCATTCGCAGGGAATTAGTGGCAACCTTTAAACCATCTAGATGCAATTAAGCTTCCCAGACAGAAACCAAAATCTACAGTTCATATTTCACTCTCTTGGCCTCTAATTTGGATAGTGTTGTGATAATTTTTGGTGCTGTTTTCCGTGCTTATTGTGAAATAATTTGAATATGTTTTCACATTGTCAACTGAATGAAATCTTATTTGAAACGTTGAGCGTGCAATATGTGACGCGAAGGTACAGTGCGGTAGTTTCTCAATTGTTAAAAGAATTATTACATCTCTGTCAAGTATAGTTGGTACTATGTGTCTTCAAGTTGGTGAGTGTATCATTTTCATTTATTTTGATTACAAGGAAAACTTGTAAATTATCTAATTAAATACTAAAAAAACCAGCAACATTGAGTAGAACAGTTCTATGATGACTTAAAGAAACACCACCATGGTAACTTGATGGTGGAAACCTGCATGAGACACAGTGAGTGCTGTGGCAGGTTTCCACGATGAGAATTTGCCGTGGAGAAATTTTCCATGGAGAAATTTTCCATGGTGACATTTTCCGTGGTGCTTTCCGTGGAGAAATTTTCCATGGAAAAATTTTCCGTGCCCAATTTTACGTGGAGAAATTTTCCATGGAAAACCAGCACGGAATTCCATGAAAAATTTTTAGCAGGGTATACTTTAGTGCGCAAAGTAAAGCGCCGCCCTCTTCTGCAAATTTCTAACCTGATGATGTGTTTGTTGTGTGTCCAGAACTCAACTACGGCAGCATGCAGTATGAGCACTTACGGCTGTCTTGCCTATCAATAACCTAGCACCAAAATGAAAAATACTCTTATTATGTATTTTTTTTTTTTTTTTTTTTTTTTTTTTTTTTTTTTTTTTTTTTTTTTAATATTTATTCAATGTAAACTACTGAAACAGCATTGTATACAATTCCTTTAAGATTATTATATTAAATACACAAAATACAACAGAGTAGTATCTTATTTACATACTAATGATGGTTTTTTTATGTAATTGAAATATTATTTAATTGAAATAAAATCAGTCGATTTCTAACCATCCAATCGATTTTTAGGGGTCTTTCGGACGATTACTGATGTTTTGAGAGAGGTTTCTTTCAATAACATTATCCGGTCAGATGCTTCTGAGCCCGTTTTCTTAAAACTTCATTTTTACACTTACTGCCTTCTTCGCTATCACAGCAGAAACCCTGTCCCGCTTATTGCGGCAACAGAGCTCACAGACACGCTATCATTACCCCAGTTGCATACTGTTCACGACAAAGGGAGCGGTGAGTATGAGCGATTACTCGCTCTCCATGACGATGAAGCGATCGGGTGCAGTTAACGAGATGCAACTGGCGCGGGGTTAAACGCCGCCCGGTGCAATCCGAAAGAAATCTTCGAACCCTGACACGGTCCCAGACGAGGGGGCCTTTGGGCACATCGTGAATTACGCGGACACAGGTCGTCACTTCTTACTAAATCACGCGAAATAAGTGTCCTATCTGTGAATATGATTCATCGTCTCTCCTATGACGTAAGAGCATATCTCCGTAATGGAGATGTTGCTTGTGTGAGGAATTTACGATTTGACTGTTGATTCTTATGCAAAGTTTGCGAGAAACACGATTATGCCACTGGTTTTCTCTGAGATCAACTGTCAAACTCAAAAAAAGCTCTCAAGTTGAAGCCAATATGGAGGAAATATCCCACGCTATCCTGAGAGTCCACCTGTACATCAAGACAAACTCTCCATGCAAAGATAGGGAGCAAATACATTGACAGGGCTGCCACTTTATTTGGGGACTCCAAAACTGAAAACACGGCATCCCTGCTTATATATTTGCTCCCTATCTTTGCATGGAGAGTTTGTCTTGATGTAGAGGTGGACTCTCAGGATAGCGTGGGATATCCCCTCCATATTGGCCTCAACTTGAGAACTTCTTTTGAGCATGGAAGTTGATTTCAGAGAAAACCAGTGGCACCATCGTGTGTCTCGCAAACTTTTGCATAAGAATCAACAGTCAAATCGTGAATTCCTCACACTTGCAACGTCTCCATTACGCGGACACAGGTCGTCACTTCTTACTAAATCACGCGAAATAAGTCTCCGTGCATAAGTATGATTCATCGTCTCTCCTATGACGTAAGGGCATATCTCCGTGATTTTTACACGAGCTCTTGAACGCATGGAGTTAGATGGACAATAAGACTCAAATAAAAAAATCGGTTACACCCTTACGATAGAGGTGCGACGCTATGGGTGGATATTTTTCTTCAATCCACTCAAGACAAAGTCGGAGTAAACGATTCCGTGGACTTTAATTGGTATACAACTTTTCGTCGTAAAAAAGGAACGAAATATCTGCCGTGTAATGCAAAAATGCCGTAAACGCTATTTCACATTTTTTGGAAAAAATAGATCATATCAGAAAAACTTGTGTACCTTCACACAACGTCTTTTCAGAATTCTTTTGCAAATACTTTCAAGAACGTAACCTGAAAATTTAAAGTGCATGGGTAAAATAGTTTTTATTTTATAAAGTGTTAAGTTACAAAAAACGAGGGAAAATCGTGATGGATTTATGACGTTCGTGCTGAACAAGGCAGTTGTGGGAATGATGATTCGATTTTAAATTACAATGTATGAATATTTTTGAAAAATGATCTCAGCATTTAGAGCGAAACCTTACACGAGGAATCGACGAACTTTGTTCGACGTAAAGTACAAAGTATACCTAAATTATACAAAATTAATATTTCACATAAATTATATATGTTTCCTATGTGATATAAATTAAACTTATTTGCATTTGAAGCTTACTTAAAAATCTTAACTTTTAACACATGCGTATACTTAGGTGAAATTAAACATGTTTTTTTATTCATTCATTCATTCATTTTTTTTCTTGGTGCAATCTAATTCTACGATTTTACTAACGTATATCTTACTTTTAAAAAACTTGGCTGGGAATCTCATTCCCTAGCAAAAAGCGTTGCAAGAATAAGTTATACTATTTTTCTGTGTGTGTGATGAATTGAATGCTTCAAATTCGAACTTATATACATGATTTGATAAAAATGAAATTTTCAAAAAAATTCTTAACGGGTGTTTCCTGTTTTAAATCCTGAAATTTATGCCAAGGAGGGGTGTCACCCTGTCAATAGTCTAAAAGGGTCATAGAGAGAGGAAAACGGGGGCATCATCTTTTCCGATACTGAAGCGGCACCCGGTGTATAAATGTCAATAAACTGAAATGCTTCGGAAATTGGCGATTATGATGAGACTCGCACCGTAAAAGTCAATCGCTGGACCTTTAAATTTCACGACAATCTCATTCGAGGAGGATGCCGCCATATCTCGTTCAATATCCCTCCGACACAACGGAAAACAACGTGACGCGAACACGAATACTCAACGTCACACTTTCTTAAGTGACTCGTAACCCGTTCAACGTTATCAAATTCTCCGGAAATTTTGGGATTTTTGCTTGAGAAGTTAGTATTTCGGGGGGAATTTGGCAACACTGCAAAAGCGGGACGAAAAGGTGCCGCTCTGGGAGAGCTGGAAATTGATATTTATTGCGTCACCCTGATCGAGTCACCCTTGAAGATCAAGCTTTTCATTAAACCTTTTTACGGCCTTTTTTCTTAGGGGGACGCGGGTAGCTTTCAACGAGTCCTCGATGACTGAAGGAGGGAGGGGCTCAGCAGGGACAACTGTATCCCGTAACATAGTTGCACATGCACGTTTTTCATCGTTGCATGATAGTGCTATCAGTTTCCATAAAGGTTTTTTTGATTGAGTTCGAAACGATTTGCCTCATGAATGGTCGAAAATCAGAAGAATCTGCACGGCAATTCTTTGATACAAACCTTTTATCTCAGGTGCGAGCGGAGAAGTATCGCGCGAAACTGAAGGCGTTTTCGACTGGTGACAACAGTTTGACTTGGCTCATCATAACGTAGTCACGGAAAGGGATCGAATAAACCCGTATGTGTCCCGTCATTCTTTTGAAGACTTGTGTGAGAATGCGGCAAAAACATTCAAAAATAATGTAAACTGTTTTCATTTCCTACTGAAGAAGTGTGTGTGTTTTCCTACTAAATGTGAGAAAATACTTCATGAATGTTCGAAAAACGCAGGATTCTGCTCGGAAATTTATGATGCGAATATTTTACCGTGGTGTAAGCTCGTGAAGTATCGCGCGAAACTGAAGGCGTTTTCGACTGGTGAAAACAGTTTGACTTGGCTCATCATAACGTAGCCACGAGAAGGGATCAAATAAACCCGTATGTATCCCGTCATTGTTTTGAAGACTTGTGTGAGAATGTGGCAAAAACATTCAAAAATAATGTAAATTGTTTTCTTTAAAGTGTTTTCCTACTAAATGTGAGAAAATACTTGTTCGAAAAACGGATGATTCTGCACGGAATTTTATGATGCGAATATTTTACTGTGGTGTGAGCTCGTGAAGTATCGTGCAAAACTGAAGGCGTTTTCGACTGGTGACAACAGTTTGACTTGGCTCATCATAACGTAGCCACGGAAAGGGATCAAATAAACCCGCATATATCCCGTCATTTTTCTGTATACTTGAGTGAAAATCCGGCAAAGACATTTACAAATAGTGTAAACAGTTATCTTTGAGGTTTTTCCCTACTAAATGCGAGACAATATACTTCATAAATGTTCGAAAAATGAAGGATTCTGTACGAAAATTTATGATGCAAATATTTTAACTGTGGTGTGAGCGATGAAGTATCGCGCGAAACTGAAGGCGTTTTCGACTGGTGACAACAGTTGTACGTAGTTCAGTACAAGGCGTGCCTCGTCTACGGATACGGATCGTATAAGCCCGCATTTCTCTCGTCATTTCTTTGAATAAGAATGAAGAGGATAATAACAAGATTAAAAGAAAAAGCAGAGTAGGAAGAAGAAAATTAGAGTGAACAAACGACTCTAATATGACGTATATAACACATCTAAAAGACCAAACACAACAAATACACGATACACACTAGAAGCAACAAACACAACAAACGCAACAAACCAAAAACACATCAATGAAATTGAAACGGAGCAAGTACCTACTTACACTGCTCACATGTATCCAACAAACACACAAAAACTAAATATACTCACACACCCTAATAAACACAAAACACACAAATAAACAAAAACACAAATACATTTCGCTCATATAATTCATGGCCTCACGAGAGGAATGTTTCGCCAGAAGGGGGCCCTTTTGATGCTAAGAGTGATACATTTTCAGGAGGATTTTATAGTCCAGATGATTTGAGC